TAAAATAATAAGATTATAAACCTCCTATATAAAAACCTTCTATAGAGAAATCTCCTATAAAGAAATGTCCTATAAAGAAACCTCTTATAGAGTATCTTCTTAGAATATTCTAGATAAATACTAAGAAGAAGTAAGAATAGCCTATTATATAAGAACTTTTATATTATAAGTAGCTCGCTATATATACTATCCTTAATAAATAAAACTATTATATTTACTATCTTTACTATTATCCTCTTTAATCGACTAATAAATAACTAGAGACTCTAAAATAACCTCTAAAACCGGAGATATTATTACTTATTTTCTAGGCTATAATAGGACTAGCGGAAGTAATAGTCTATTATCTATATAATTAACTATATAATATCGAATTATCTTATAAATTTATAGTTAAAGAACTAGATATTAATATATTAATTAAGGAACTAACTAATAAATTAGCTACTAAATAATCTATTTTTTTAGCGGTAGAAGGTAAGCCGGTTTAACTTACTTCTAGAAATTTAGTTATTAAAATAGAGATTAATCTTTAATCTCTTATATTCTAATTAATAGCTTTAGTATAAATAATATAGTTTATACTCTTCCTAATATATCTAGATCTATAGAAGCTTATTTTTATTAAATTATAGATCTTAAAACCTAAATTACTATCTCTAGCTATTTATTAATAATAGAAATCTATAGAACTAGCTTTAGTCTAATTATAATCTTCGGATCTTTATAAGATTATTTATCTTTCTTAATTATAAAATCTAGAATATATAAACTACTTTTTTTATAAAGTACTTTAGTATTATTATCTAAATTAAGATCTTTAAATATTAGTTTTTTAGCTAAAATATCTTTCTTTAGATTATTATCCGATTAAAAAGAGTTAAAATTAAGTTTATTAGGAAAAGTAATATCCTATAAATAAATAATCTTCTTTAAAATAGGATTTTATATCTTAAAGATATAACTATTCTTATTTTTATAATTAACTAAATATCCTTTAAATATATAAGTAACTAATTTCTCTAATTAAATATATATCTCTCTTAGAATATAAATAAATATAATAGTATCCTATATATAAAGATATTTTAAATTAACCTTCGTTTTATTAAGACTAAGATCCTTCTATTAAGAAATAATTAGTATCTTTCTAATTTTTAGATTAACTAAGCGATTATAAATATAAATTATAATATCTATTTAGTAAGATTAAAGCTATTTAAAAAACTTAGCGTTTATATTTATTATATATTAAATCTAGTTAATATAATTATTTATACGCTTTATAATACTATTTAGTTCGGGTATATAGATAAGTATAATTTTAAAAACTATACCTTTTTTCTTTATTTATAATTAAAACTTATAAAATTTAGTTCTTTTATTAATCTATTAAAAAGCTAGATAACGTCTATAAATAATCTTCTATCTCTTATAAAAAATAATTATATAAGATATAATCTCTTCTTTAATTTAAAAGTATAATCTTTTAGTATATTAAGTATAATTATCGATAATTAATACCTAATAATATTTATTATAAGATCTAGATAAATTTATAGTTTATATATTTATATAAAACTTTATATCTAGCTTCTCTATATAATATTATATATCCTAAGAAATCTACTTCTTAGCTTTACTAAGTTAATAAGTTTTATAATTAAAATTATAAATTTTAATCTAGTCTTCTTTCTTTAGAAGAATAATATTAGAAAGAGAAGCTTTAATATATAGTTTTTTTATATAACTAAATTAATAATAAATTTTATAAGTCGAAATAAATTTATTAATTTAATTAAACTCTTTATCTAAATTCGAGTTTAAATTAAAAGAACTTAGTTTATAGAAGTAAGTTATTTAAATAGTCGTTTAAATAGAAGATTATTATATCTTCTTTAGAATTACTTTTTAATAAAGTAGACTATTAATCTAGGATAAATTATTAAACTATTTTACTAATCTAACTTCTTTTTTATTCTTATAAACTAGTTTTAAAATAATTAGATTATAGTAGATATTATAATCCGCTTTAAGAGTATTAGATAAAAGTAGATAATCGGTAATTACTATATTATAATAGATATTAATAAGAATTATCTTAATCTTATCTTCTAAATTTTTAATTTAAATTAGCGCCTTATTATAACTAATTACTAATTAGACCTTATTATTAGTATTTATATAATTATATAGCTTTTTACTAGGCTTATAAGTTAAATATTTATAGAAGTCTTTATAATATCTAATAATTATTTTAGAAGTACTACTATTAATTATTTAATTATTCTTTAAAGAATAAGCTATATTAATATAAGTAATACTAGCTTTATCTTTTCTTTTATATATAATTATATAGTATTAAGTATTATTATATAGCTTTTATCTCTTTATAGATAGATCCTTTATTAGATAGAAATATATCTTAATAGGATATCTAATATATCTATAATAAATATATTCTAAATTATTTATATATTATAGCTATTAATTATACTATTATTCCGTCTATTTATTAATTAACTTATCTTTAGGCGGCGTATTCTTTATATCTTAATACTATTCCTTCTAATTATTTTAATTATCTTTATTATTATTATTATCCGATCTAGAGTTATATAAATTATCTTTATAATCTCTACTATTATAGCCTCGACCTCTTATTCTATCTTTATATTAATTATTATTATTATTATTCCTTATAATATTAATAAAAGCTTCTAGATTAAATAATAATAAAGTAGGGATATCGCGTATTTTAATTATTAATATCTTATATATATTACTAAAAACCTTTTTTATAATAGAATCTAGTATCTTATCTTTTAAAGTCTTATAAATAAATATAACCGATTTAAGTTTATCTTTTAATTATTAAAGTATTATAAATAATACTCTAAATAGATAAGATTTAATTTTATATATACTAAGCTAGTTATATTAGGTTTAGTAGATATTAATATAGTCCTTTATAGAACTAAAGTATAATCTTTTTATCTTATCGAATTTAATTATCTTATATCTTATATTATTAATAATATTAATACTACGAATAATAGACTTAATTTTATATAGTATATAATTAGTATAAATTAGGAAACTATTTATATATTCTTTAAGAGTTATAATAATCTTTTAATCTAAAAGACCTTTAATCTATCTACTAAAAATCTTCGACTAATATCTTTATAAATTATAATTAGGATCGAATTCGATAGGACGAGAAAGATTATAGTTAGTAATCTAATCGATTCGCGTTATACTTAATCTATTAATAATCTATTATTTCTATCTTATTAGATTACTACTATTAAAAGCTAATTTAATACCCTTATTAAGCTTAATTTCCTTTACTTCCGGAAGATTAGTCCTCTATATATATATTTATCTAATAAGACTATATTATTATTATTATTAACTATTAGAAATAGGATTATATTACTAATAAAAAGCGGGGAGAGAATATAAAAAACCTTCTCCTCTATTATTATTATTATTATAGGAACTAGTTATTTTAACTATACGCCGAGTATCTATCTTCGGTCTTAATCGAAAGAAATACGCGAAGCGATACCGTCTATCGCGTCGATAAGGTAACTATAGAAAACGAAGCTTTCTAGATAATTAGAATAATAAAAATATTAACTTATAATAAGATCGTCGATAAAAATTAATATTAATAATAGGATCGATAGTCGAAAAGTAGAGATACGGAACGGGCCGAAAAACGCGTCCTATAAAAGAAAAATAAAAACTCTAATTAGTTAAAAATTTTAACAAAAAGATGCTCGGAGTCGTACGAGTAAGGGCTAATAACCTATTAGATAGAATATAGGCTATATAGGAATGAATGTTAACCTCAAAGGATTAGATTTGTAGACTCTGGAGAGAAAGAAAAGAAGAGAAGAAAAACTAGCTACTGTCTAACAATATCCTGAGTTCTGTGGCTCAGGATCACCTGCGGCCCCACATGGCCGTCACGTGACTCCAACAATATCCTAGGATTACGTAATATAGCTAGTTAGTGCCTTAGGCTATTGATTATATAGTGATCACGTGATCGCTATCTAATCTAGCGTAGATTAGATATATTACCGCCTAATCTAGCGTTAATTAGATATATCACGTGATATACTACGTAATATAGGTAGTTAGTGCCTTAGGCGCCTTAGGCTACTTATTATATAGTGATCGCCGCCTAATCCGGCCTAGATCGGTATATATCACGTGATTATAGGGTACTCACGTGATCGCCGCCTAATCCGGCGTAGATCGGTACTTACGTGATCGCCGCCTAATCCGGCGTGGATCGGTGTATATCACGTGATTATAGGGTACTCACGTGATCGCCGCCTAATCCGGCGTAGATCGGTATATATCACGTGATCTATATAGGTCACGTGCTTTATTAGGCACCAAGGCATCTATATCTCAAAGTCGAGTCACGTGACTAACCCTACCCTGTTCACATGACTGGTCAATTCTCCAGCCAATCAGAGGCCAGGATCTCAGAATTCGCAAGACGGAATTTTAGGCATAGTCTGTTGGGTACCTTTTCTGTAAATTTGCTTCGTTGCGCTCAGCAAAATAAATAAAATACCCTAAAATTACTAGCTTTTCTGTATAACTTATATATATTATAAGGTTAGTCGTATTTATATTATTTATAGTACTATAGTACTCCCGCTATAGCACTATAGTACCGAACTAAAGGCCTAGTGCTACTAAGCCTTAGGGCTATAGTACCGAACCAAAGGCCTAGTGCTGCCGCAGCACCGGTACTGCAGCACCGGTGCTACGGGACTTGTCAAGGCCTAAAGTAAGCAAACACTACAAACCTCTCGGGAGCACAAAGCACCTTGAGATCAGCAGCTCTATTGAGTTAAGGACACAGTAAATAATTTTGTTTCATTTGTTTTATTATTGTCCGGATATATTGTGATATACTTTCCAACAAGCACATAATTCAAACATCGTAGATAGGCCTGCAATTCCATTCTCTAAACATTCTCATAGTCAATAGTATCCCACTGCTTAGGCTGATTGATAACATCCTGCAACTGCTCCATAGCCCCCTGAAGATCATCCAGCCCCAGATGCAACGCCAGCTCAAGATAATCCTTGGTCCACAACCCCGGCGAGCCACGCGGGTACTGCGACCTAAAACCAACAAACCTCTGCGCTCTCTTCGACAAAGCTTTCGCAGTTTCCAACGTAATAATAAACGGATGCGCCTCAGATGGCGTCAAGAAACTCGGAATAACAGTAAGCTGGATACACTTCCGCTCCATCTCGGTCTTGTTCTCGCCCATGGCATGAATCACCTTCCCACCAATAAGCAAACAATCGCCCGTCTTCATCTCCGCCGGAATTGTCTGCCCCATGTTGCCGCGCTGGTCAAACGGCCACTTATTGCTCCCAGGAATAAGTCGCGTCGCGCCCTTCTCCTCTGTGAAACCCGAAAACGCAAAGAGGAAGTTGATCTGTGGCTCCGTTCCGTCGGGCCCAAGTTGTGCATACGGCGGGTAAGACGTCAGATCTCGGTGCAGGACCTGTCCCGGCTGGGGACCCAAGGCATTCAGCGTCGTTGCCGCGGACAGCCAGTAGTCGCCATTATGCCCTCCTTCGGTAAAGGTGCGCCTGCAGATGGTGTGGATGAAGTCATTTTCGAGGATGAGCTCGCGGAACGTCGGGCTGTGGTTGATTATGTCGCCGGCGCGCTTGGTCTTTGTGCCGTGGAAGGCTGCTAGGTCTGGGTGCGGCACTCGCGAGCCACGTTGGACGGAGTCCAGGCGGGCTTCCAGTTCGTGGGTGATTTGGTTTGCTTGTGCTTCTGTGAGCATGTTCTTAAGGATTACGCCGCCGCTTTCTTTCCAATGTTTGAAGACTTCGTCTAGCGGTGTGTCGGATGTCACTTCGGCAATTTTGAGGCCATTGGGGATGGCAGTTTGGGGGGTGTCTGTTGGAATGCGCCACATTTTGAGGATTGGGGGTGGCTTGATTCGAGGGAAAGAAGGCGTTTGGACGACTCAATTGAAGTCAACGTGCTTTGTTGTGAAGTTTAAATAACATGAGCACCGTCCACAGGTCGTAAGTTGTTGTGCTCCCTCTCCAATTACTCAATTACTCTTTTAGTCTGTAGCCTCATGTTGTCAGCGTCGGGTCCCGTTCCCCGCAGCCCGCGCGTAGTCGGATCCCGGTCGCGTTTGTTAGAGAGCCCACTTGGTTTTCATTCTTTTCAGCTCGTACCATCCGGGAGATCTTGAATCTTGCATCAAGTAAAATTGTACAGGAGTTGGATGGTGATGTCGGGGCTCAAGACTGTAGACTCTTGGTACTATAGATACCTAGGTAGTTATGTGTCCATGAGCCATATGCACCAGCCACTGGGTCAAGAAAATACCAAGCGTTGGCCTCTACATAGGGCAGATGCCGGTAACGAGACATTCTCAGAGACAGACTTCGCTCTAAATATAAAGCTCTATTCCTTCCAAGATGATGTACTGCTATTAGTGGATAATTTAGATAACCTTGGTATTCCCTGAAAAGGTTGACTCCCGGGGCTCGTTACACGAAAAGCCCTTTACTTTAATTATATGGTTATTGGTTTCTCGGTGACAACTCATGGAATCTATTTAGCAAGGAATTCAAGTTTCCTGCCGATGCGGTTTTCTTCCTGTATCGGGTCAAAAGCAATTCGTGTTGTAGTAAATATATGACACAAAAGGTACAATTCCCCCCAAAGATATCTAGAAAGACAGATCATCTAGCTCTGGTTGTTCTCTGTCGCAATCCGGAAGATCTCATTGGCCGCATGTTGACCGAGCATATCAAGAGATCCAATACTCATCATCTCCAACATAGGAAGATCGAATGAAAACACCTGCTTAATCCAAGCACGCAGCTCAAGAGCAACCAAAGAGTCCAGTCCAAGGTCGAGCAGCGGCAAGCTAGTGTTGAGATCCTCCTGAGGCTTGAGCAGCAGATCCAAAAGCTTCTTGCCGATCTCAACAGCAAAGAGCTTCGATGCCTCAGCGGACTTCAAAATCGAGGGGTCAGCCTGGGCTTTGGTCAAGTAAGACTTGAGAATATCGGTAGAACCGGCAGTTGCACCAACCACGGAGTTGTTGTGGTAAGAGGCCATGCGACGGTCCTTCTTCCAGATCACGTAGTTGCTAGGGTCGTGCAGGGGAATGAGCAGAGCCAGACCAACGAGGAAGGTGTTTTTATGGATGAAATAGGAGTTGTTCTTGGAAGCGGTAGCAAGTGGCTTCTCGGCAGCTTGACTAGGCTTGTTGTGAACCAACATGGAGATTGCCATGGCATCAATGACCTCCTGCTCCAACACGGGCTTGAAACCGCTGCGGGACATTTTGCCCATCATACCCTGGTGCTCTGAAATCCAGCCAACGTCCTCGACAGCACCCATGTCAACTACCGAAGCTGCCAGGCCCAGATCGTTACGATATTGGGCGAAGGCATCAAGGAAACTGTTTCCACTGGCGTAATTTGCTTGACCGGCCTGTCCGACGATTCCGGAGACAGAACTGAACATCAAGAAAAAGTCGAGGTCCAATCCTGCAGCCACAGATGCATTGTGCAGATTCCAAGTTCCCTGGACCTTTGGTGCCACGGATGCTGTCCACTCGGAGAAACTCATCTTGGTGTAGTTCTCATTGGAGACGACCATGGACATCTGCACAATACCCTTGAGGGGGTATGTCGCGGCAGCGATGGCTTTGTTGACGTCCTCGAACTTTGTGGCGTCTCCACTAGCAAGTTTCACAGAGCAGCCCATGCTCTGGAGTTCGTGAACGAAGGCATCATCCTTGTTGGTAAGGCCAGCGCTGCGGGACATGTAGATGATTTCGCGGGCGCCGTGGTCAACCATCCACGTGGAGACAGCCCGACCAATACCTCCAAGACCACCGATCATGAGGTAGGAGGCGGATCCAGGGAATGAAACCGTCAGAGCCCTCTTCGTAGTTTGGAAAGCAATGTTAGCCTCCTCCGCGGCTTCCTTGATCGCCACACCGACGCGACCAATGTGAAGGCCCTTCTCCATGAAGCGGAACGCGTCCTGGGTCTGGGCTGCAGTGAAGATTGTCGTTGGCAGTGGAGAAATGTGTCTATTGTTATAGAAGTCTAAGATGGTAAAGATGAGGGCCCTGGCGATGTGAATTCTCTTCCACAAGCCGTCGATGTCCACACAGCAGTAGTTGCGGTTAGCCAAGAAAGGCTTCATGTCGAGCTTACTGGAGCCGATCAGATCTCGCTTTCCAATCTCAAGCAGTGTTCCAAACTCGGCAACGCAGCTCCAGGTAGCGTGCAGAAGCTCACCGGAAAGTGAGTTCAGGATGAAGTCCATGCCACGGCCTCCGGTTTCCCGCATGACACCATCAACGAAGGACTTGTCGCGGGAGTTGAAGATGCGGTTTCTCGGGATGTTATAGTTGTCCATCAGATACTTCACCTTCTCCTCATTGCCAACTGTGACATACAGCTCTGCCTCCAGCATCTGGGCCACCTGGATAGCTGCCAGGCCGACACCACCGCAGGCACTGTGGATCATGACAGACTAAAGAGAGTGAAGTTGTCAGTCAATTTTCAATCATGAGTGGAATGTTTATGCAACTTACTTGGCCCTTGGTAACGCGTCCAACGTTTATCATCGAGTGAATTGCGGTGAAATAAGGGATAAGCATCGTTCCTGCCTGGTTGAAGGTGAGGCTGTCGGGAATGCGAACACAGACATCAGCCAGGGTAGTGGTGTATGTCGAGAAAGCATCCTTTCTGCAGAAGCAAACGACGCGATCACCAACTTGGAGATTGTCAGGGCTGACGTCTGCTCCCACGCGCGTAACAACACCAGCGGCCTCGATACCGAAGAGACGGACGGGAAGCTCAACAATCCCGAGAGCGACCAGAATATCCTAAACATATTTTGTCAAAATCATATCTTGAAGTTTAGACCTTTTATATGCATAGACTTACGCGGAAGTTCAGACCGGCAGCATATACTTCGACTTCGACTTCGTCCTTGTCAAGATCCTTTCGTGCATTCCGCTGGTAGTGCAGACTGTTAACACGACCAGGAGTACGGACATTCAGAGTAGCCATCTCGTTTGACTCCTCTGAGACCAATAGATCATCTGTCAAAACGAAAGGATGGAATCGAGAAACCTGAATGCGCTCGTTGAAGATAGCCCATTCATAGTCGGGGTTGAGTTCCTCATCGCCCTGTCGGGTCTGAAACTTTCCAAGGACTTGAATGAGATGCTCAACAGACTTAGGGTTGTCGAAACTGTCGACCTGGCAGGTGGCCAAGTTGGCCAGCTGCTCTGTGCGAACTGTTCTGGCGAAGCCTAGGACCTGAGCATAGCGAGGATCGCGGCAGCCGATGTCAATAAGATGGGTGGCCCAGAGCATTCCTGCATCGCGCTCCTGGAGACTAAGAAGGAAAGTCTTAAATGACAGGAATTTGTCCTCATCCATATCGTGGAAGAATGGCTTCTCGATGTCCAAGAGTGAAATCACGTCTTGTCCAACGGGCGCGTCATCACCCAACTTGCACTTGCTCACTTCATAGCCTTGCTTCTCAAGCAGGCTCAGAACCTTGATGACAGCAGGGCCGTCCTGTTCGACAAGAACAGTGATCTTGTTCATGGGCTTCTCAAGAACCTGTCTCGCGATTATGGTTGTGGTAACTTGGTGAGGCTCTTCTGCACCGGCGGTGACAGCTTCCACGTTGCCGAATCCAGCGGCAATAATTTTTGTTTCCCACTCACTCTCGGTCAGGTAAGGGATGTCGGTGCGCTCATTTGTAGCACCCCAGGTCGTGGGAAGCAGACCGAGCACATAGTTCACCCACTTGGATGACGGGCACAGCTCTTGCAGAAGGAGGCGACCTTCAGGACTCAAGAGCTTCTTCACGTTGACCAAGCTTTCCTGGACATTCTTCGTCTCATAAAGAACATTGGAAGCGATGATGAGATCGAAGCCGACTTCGTCGAATCCTTGATCGAAAGGATCACGGCTGATGTCCAAACTGGCAAACTCCATGTTGGGGAATAGCTTTTCTTGGGTTTCAGAGACGACGTATCCAGGGGCGGTCAACGTGTAGTTGGAGCAGAGGACTTCTCCATTAACGTGGGTCAACTCAGCGATGATATCGTGATGAGAGGAAATGCCCCTTCCGGTTCCAATTTCCAGAATACGGAGGTTGGGCTTGGAGTGGCCCAAGGCCCGGATGAACTCACGCCGGTTGAGCTGTCCCAAGAACCCATAGACTTGGGCGAGATCACCTTCTTGCAGAACACTCTCCAAAGTTTCACCAGCGAGGAGATTATCAGTTTTATTGCATATCTGGTGGATGGCATTGGCGACTGGGGCGGCAGAAGTATCAGCAAGCTGGGCCTTGATACTTTCAATCCGGGCTGAGATAGCCTGAGTGTCAGGACCTGTCCAGGTTGATGGCAGCTTGGTCACTGTCGATGTTGATTGAGCTTTAATCCAAGCAATATACTTTTGCAGATGGGGCAGAGTCGAATCACTTGCGCTTTCAGTGAGATGACGCTGGGACAGCAACAAGCAGATTTCTCCGAGCTCTTCAAGCAGGCGAAGGTGCTCTGTATGGCCTGATTGGATATGAATAAGATCATTCACATCCAGGAAGTCGATGTCAGGCCTCCATTCGCATCGCGAAGCAGCATGGTCGTCATTCGAATCGGCTGAGCCGGCGCCATCAGCAAGAGACATGCGGATTCCGGTGGCTTCGACAACAGTCTTGCCCTCGGCTATGCAGCGGCTATCTCCAACGACGGAGAAGTTGCTTGAGAGCTTAGCGGATGAGCTGATTACCATGTCCGAGGAGCATCGGTGAATGGTCACTTTGTCGATGCTAGTCGGGAGCCAGGTCTTGGTCTTGCGAGCATAGCCGTCGACGGCGGCCGCGCCTAGAATCTGAAGTGTGCCGTCAAGCGCGGTGGGGTGAATGAAATAGTTGGCCTCGTCGCCTTGTCTTCCATTGGCGATGTTTCCAAAAGCCTGCTGTTCAGAAGTTGAAGTGGCAATAGTCTCCAAGGTCTGGAAAGACTGTCCAAGGTTCAATCCACCCTTAATCATCTTCTCATACCACTTTCTGACATTAAGCTTTCGAGGCAGGGACTCGGGCTCTGGAGCATCCTCACGGGTGGACGACAGGGCAGAGACCTCTCCGGAGCAGTGCTTGGTCCAGTTCCACCCGTTGTAGGCTGAGACGGAGAACTCCCACCATGGGCTGTTCAAGGAGTTTGTCAGACGATGTGGTCGGAAGTTAGCCATAATCTCCGTCGGCTTCCCTTCGCTGAGCACTAGAGCTGTGCTGACGATGATGTTGCGGATATTGAACCCCTCATCCACATTGGTCAACTGTCTGATGGCCTCGCCTGCAAGAGCAATGTAGCCACAGAACGGGAAGACGATGTTTTCTCCCACCTTGTGGTCACGAAGCCACGGCGCGTTTGTAATGTGGAGCAGGTTCCGCCAGGCAGGCTCAGTGTCACTGCTCTCAGCCACCCTCGCACCGAGAAGGTCATGGTGAGGAGCTTTGCGGTTGCGCCATTCTTTGCTGAGGCGAGATTCATACCAGTAGCTGCCTTCATGATTCCAGGGGTAGCGGGGGAGGTCCGGCAAACAGGCACCGGTTGGGAAGAGGGCCTCAAGATCAATGTCGACGTTGAGTGAGTGAAGTCCTCCGATACCAGACAGGAATGAGGCGGTGCAGTCCTGATTACGCGCCATGGTGGAGACGTAGGGAGCAGGAGAGCCAGCCTGAGAGAAGATTTGTCTCAATGGTCCAGCGAGAGCTCCGTGGGGTCCAATTTCAAGGAATATAGCGTTTTCTCCAACCTCGTGCTCCAGAATGGCAGTGACAGCCTCACGGAATCGAACAGGTGATTCCAAATTGTCCTGCCAGTACTTGGATCCGATGTTGTCCTCGGCACCCAGGATCTTTCCAGTCACACTGGAAAAGAAGAGCTTTGATGGTGCTTTTCCAACCACTTCCTCGCCAATTAAGGTTTGGTAGTCACTTCCAATCTCCTTCATGTGGTATGAGTGGTAAGCCTTGTCAACCTGGAGCTGCCTGCCGAGCATTTGAGGCTGCTTCTCCTTGATAGTAGCGATGACAGATTTGACAGCATCAACATCACCCGAGATAGTAACGCTCTTGGGGGAGTTATCGCAAGCAATGGAGACGTTTGGGACAAGATACTTCTCAGTCTCACTCCAACCCATTCCAACAGCAGCCATGGCTCCTGGCTTTTCCTGCTTGGTAGTGACGGCTCCACGGTAGTGAGCAGCAGTGATGGCTTCCTTGGCAGTGAGAGCGCCGGAGGCATATGCTGCAGCAATCTCACCACTGGAATGACCCACGACGGCGGTGGGGATAACTCCAGTGGCTGCGAGGGTATCGACCAAAGCAATCTGGATAGCAGTGCACAGTGGCTGAGAGAATTCGGCCATGGTGATACGGCTTTTCTTAGCTGGCTTCTTGAGTTCCGCTTCAATCGAGTATTGAGGTTTCTCACCGGCAATGGTCTGCAGGTGTGCATCGAGGGCTCGGATGCTTGCTTTGAAAGTCTTGTTCGATCGCAGCAGCTCACGTCCCATCTGGGGCCACTGGGCGCCCTGGCCAGTGAAGACCATTACAACGTTGGGCGATTTGGTAGACTTGGAGTTTACGGGCTGAGAGACGGTCTCGATCGCCCCGTTGGTAACAATAGCATAGGCTCGGTGCGGCAAATGCTCACGTCTCCTTGCCAGAGTGTAGGCCAAATCGCTGACCTTGTCGGGATTCTTCTCAATCCACTCCTTGTAATTGTCGACCAGTCTCTTGATGGATTTGGCCGAATTGGCTGTGAAGAGCAGGAGCTGGGGTTCCTCTGGCGTTTCGTAAACCGCATCCGGAACATTGTAGGTAGCCGCAGACTCGAGAACAACGTGGGCATTAGCACCACCAATGCCGAAGGAGTTGACGCTAACACGTTCCAGCTTGTTCTTAGGCCAAGGGATGGGCTCAGTGGGAACCGTGAGCTTGGCTTCTTCGAATGGAATGCTAGGGTTTGGAGTGGTGAATTTGATGTTCGGTGGAATGGTGCGATGTTCGAGTGCTTTGACCATCTTCAAAAGGGACACAAGACCGGAAGCTGCCTCTGTGTGGCCGAGATTAGGTTTGACTGATCCGATGTAAACGCCCTTCTCTCCAAAGACGCGGGCCACAGCCTTTGTCTCAATTGGGTCTCCAGTCGGGGTTCCGGTTCCGTGACATTCAACCATGGCGGTCTCACCAAAATCAGTGATGCCACCAAGTTCGTACGCTCTCCGCATCAGAGCTTCTTGTGCTTGTGTGCTAGGCTGGGATAGTGTTGGGGTCTTTCCATCCACGTTATGGGATGTGGATCTCACGACAGCTCGAATGGGGTTGCCGTCCCTAATGGCATCTGCGAGCGGCTTGACGTAGACTGCGGTAACCGCCTCTCCGCGGGCGTACCCATTGGCGTCGGCAGAGAATGTCTTGCAAGAGCCATCGCTTGACAAAACGCCTTGTTCTTGCATGGCCATGGACATTCCTGGTGCAAGAATCAGGTTCACACCACCGACCAGGGCTGACCCACAGTCACCTCGGTTGATAGCAGCACATGCCTCATTTAAAGCAACTAGGGCAGAAGAGCAAGCTGTGCGGATCGTCATACTGTTCGAAATGTGAGTAAATCGCGGTTTGAGCTCTGGCGTATGAACGTACCTTGGTCCTTGTAAATCAAATTCATAGGAAAGACGGTTGGCGACAACGAAATCACCAGCACCGGAAATACGATGGATACCCCATGGCTGACTCTCCTTACCAATCATCTCCAGCCAGTCTTCTCCAAAGTTACCGATATAAGTACCGATAGTCTTGCCTCTCCAGTTCGTCACACCGGCGTCTTCAAATGCCTCACGTGCGACTTCCAGCATGAGCCGCTGCTGAGGGTCAGCTCGCTCTACCTCCGATCGTGTCATCGTGAAGAAGGACATGTCCAAGGTGCCGATGTCGACGTCCTCATCGAGGAAGTATCCATACTCCGTCGATACAGTTCCAGGCTTCTTTGTGTCCGAGTAATATGAGTCGATGTTGTACCGCGATTCAGGGACACGGCATCGACCGTCTTTCTTTGTAAGGAGGAAATCCCAAAGTTCTTCGGGTGTAGTCAAGCCTCCTGGGAGACGACAGGCCATACCGCAGATGGCGATAGGAATTTGGCCATTAGTATGGGTTTCAGTCCCCAAAACACCGTTTGTGCCGTTGACGTTGGCAGATAATCCGTTTGTAGACACACCATCAACGGGCATATCGGCGACATCGTCGTTGGAATGCCCGTTGGTGAACCAATTGGTCGAAGCCACGGGCACTCCGTGGCCTTCGAATGCGTTGTTGTTGATAGTCATGACGGGCCGTTTTCGTGTATGTAGATCGAAAATGCAAATGACCTGTCTCGTGGCAGTGGGATCTGCACTTGACTTTAAAATAAAACATGACAGGCCCAACAACGTACATATGTTCTTGAAGAGTGAGGCTCCTCGGGATCGGCTCGGCAGGCAGCCGTCGCTCCGGCTTACCTACGCCGAGCGGGACCCGCTGAGAGCCCGCGTTGGCAACCCGCCGTCTCGGGCCGGAGCGCCGGTGGGGGCCACAATCGAAGTGTTTGACACTCCTCAATTTGGACATAAATGGGATTGAGATGGGATTGAAAATGAAGAAACTCGTATTTGTCGAACTACAAAGGGTTTCTGATTTCGTTCTCTCGGTCGCATCATAGTCGAAGAATTCAGCTACCTCGTCATGGCAACCACTGACAAAATTGTCTCGGAGATGGCCTTCTGGATGAAGAGCCAGAAGCTAGTGGCTCCCCAGATGAAGGACGCTCCTGTATTCTACAGGAACCTTGAGGAGGCTCTGGATGTTCGACGATCCACCCAGTCCATGCTCACCCGAGGACAGAACACTTGGAAAGATGGCGGCGCCATCGACTTCTGCTCCAACGACCTTCTGTCCCTGGGGCGCACCGGAGAATTGCGAGCCGAGTTCCTCTCTGAGCTGGCCAAATACCCCGACTTTGCGCTGCACTCCGGTGGATCGCGTGTGATGGGCGGCAACTACGACTACATCGAAGAGGTGGAGCAGGAGATCGCCGATTTTCTCGGTGCAGAGACCGCTCTCATGTTCGACTCGGGATTCAATGGAAATGTTGCCATCTACACTTCCATTCCTCGTCCCGGAGATGCCATTGTGTATGATGAGCTGGTTCACTTCAGCACACACACCGGTATGGCCTCGTCGGTGGCTACGACCAAGGTTTCTTTCCGTCACAACGACCTTGATGCCTTCCGTGAGGCTATGATTTCCACTATGGACTCTCAGCCCATGATACAGGATGGTTCGCGCTCGATTCTTGTTTCCGTCGAGTCGGTGTACAGCATGGATGGCGATGTTTGCCCTCTTGTGGAGATGCTCGAGATTGCCAGGGAGATTTGCCCTAAGAAAAACTTCGCCTTCATTGCGGATGAGGCTCACGCAACTGGGATTGTTGGTCCCAGGGGTGTTGGTCTTGTTAAGCACCTCGGTCTTGAAAAGGACATTGCCATTCGCCTCAACACAAGTGGAAAGGCTCTGGCCTGCACTGGATGTGAGAACAACCACTTCACGTAACTTCATGCTGGGCGACATAACTGACAATTTCAAAAGCGGTGGTTCTTGGAAGCGCCACTGTCCGGAACACGATGCTGAATTTTGCTGGTTCTCTGGTTAACACCACAGCTCCCTCCTTCCCTTCGGTTGCTGTTGTTCGATCGGCTTATAACTTGATGCGGACGGGTGCCACCCAGAAGGTATGCAATCTATATATTGACGTGAATTTTTGCGTATCATACTCACAGATCTTCTAGGCCCAAGATAACGTCCAGCATCTGGTAAGACACTTCTTCAAGAGCATGAATTCCCACCCACTTTGGGATGAAGCGACCGACATGGGTCTTCTTTCCATTCCCATCATCGAGGAATCAGAGGAGAACGATTTCGTGACGCACATCATTCCAATCTGGACCCGGCAAAAGTACAACTGGTGGCTGTTCTTTCACCTACAACTGGCTAAAAACGCCGTTGTTCCCATCGACTATCCCCAGGTTCCCAAGGGTAAGGCTCGCCTGAGAGTCATGATCCATGCTACAAATACTGAAACAGAGGTCGATTACCTGGTTTCTACTATTTACGATTTCGTCAAGGAGATGATGGATATCGAGGAGAGTGGGGAGAAGGGAAAGATTCCCAAGGCTGCGCAGCAGATTTACGCGTTGATGGCCGCAAATGCGTAAGGCATGGCTATGTTGAGAACGCCCCTGCATAAGAGGTTCTAGGGGGCAAGAAAGTATAACCACCTATAGATACTGCTAGATCTGAAACGCGGTAAAGCGTGTTGTAGCGAAGCCTAGTCATGAGGAAGATATATAAGAAACTGATTGTGAGCGCGACTGTATTCAGGAATGAAGAGACACCGCTTGTAATATTGATAACTGTCGTGCGTAGGGCGTATAACAGGCGCATTGATATAGTAATATGACAGAAATAGACGGGTACGACAATTGTATGCAAAATGATATATGTATAATTCTCTATAGGCCTTGACAAGTCACGCGGTACCAGTAACGTGCCGTGACTAAGGGTCTACTCCGGTCTCTATAGTACTAAGCTTAGCGGTACTAATACTCTATTCCGGTATTATAGTACCGCGACGGTAGTACCGTAGTACTATAAATAGTATAAATATAGCTAAATTTATAAGATCCTATAACTTATATAAGTTATATAGAAAATCTCTATATTTTTAGATATTTTACTTATAGCTCTAAAATTCGTAATGGTTTAATATATACCAGCTACCCGTAAGCACCTACCGGGGGTGGAAACGTATATAGGTGATATTTTGCTAAGCTTAGTAGAAGCAAATCCGGGGCGGATCCGAGCTAAGATAGCCTATAGGCTGCCTTTCTAGCCTATAGCCGGCTCTTTTTCGGGGCCTATAGTATAGTTTTTATATACCGGATTTTATAGAAGATAGCTAATAGTAGTATTAGGACTATAGGGATATAGCCGGACTATAATTAGCGGGCCGGTTTTTAAAATAATAAATACTAAGGATTATAGACTATATAGATATCGGATAGGGCCGGGTAAGTAGTATTAGGGCTATATAAGATAGGTACCGATTATAGCGTATTAGATCTAGGCTAGGATAGATAGAATTAAAGTTTATTTATAATTAAAGAATATAAAAAAAGGAAATAGGGCCTAGATAAACTATCCTTTATTCTTAGTAGCTACTATTAATTATAATTAGCTTTAGTCGACTATCGATTAGTATATTTCTTTTAAAGATTTAGGTATAAAGTCTATATAAGATTTCCTAGGTTTTATAATTAAATAGCTAGTAAAGATCGGCTATATATCCTAAATTAAATCTATATATATATAGAAGTCTTAATAAAAAAGCTTTTATAATAAAAAGTAGAATATAATAAAGAGCTTAATAGTTACTAATAGATTTCTTTAATAATTAAAGGACGGAATATATATCTAGAATTAGTTAAAAGATAAAGTGTTACAACCTGCCCCTGGACTGGCGAGTTACAAACTAGGCCAAAAGACCACTATATCTGAGCATTACGCTCAGATAGTCCAGGCTCCGTTATATATAGTGCGTGTCATGACATTATCTCCCTTTTTCTCCAGGGTATGACCCCATACCCAACTAGGGATGGTATAACTCAGAGGTAAGCTTTTTTTTTCAACTTGTTTATATGACTTAGAGGTATGGCTTTTGCATTTTAACATGTTCAGATCACGTAGTATCTCCCTTTTTCTCTAGGGTATGACCCTATACCCAACTAGGGATGGTATAACTCAGAGGTAAGCTTTTTTCAACTTGTTTATATGACTTAGAGGTATGGCTTTGCATTTTAACATGTTTAGATCACGTGACTTAGAGGTATGTCTTAGCATTTTAACATAGTCAAGTCAATAACTATACATGTCAGATCATGACTCAGAGGTATTTTTAACATGTTCATATCATAAACTATATATATGTATCTATTATATCGTCGGCCCCTAAGGGTAATGATGACTAATTAAAGCCAGAGCACGCCTTATCAGCCAGGCGAGCGAAAAAGACTCTATGAGCAGATTCGAACGCCCGACCGGTAATGCTCAGATATATTGTTACAACCTGCCCCTGGACTGGCGAGTTACAAACTAGGCCAAAAGACCACTATATCTAAGCATTACGCTCAGATAGTCCAGGCTCCGTTATATATAGTGCGTGTCATGACATAAAGACTATTTATATAAAAGGTTATATAATTTAGTAAATCTAGCTAAAGAAGATATACAAAAAATTATATCTCTTATAGTTAGATTTCTTTATATATATTAAATATATAATAATAAGACTAAAATTAAAGAATATCTTTATTAAGAATAAATTAGGATTACTTTTTAGTAAGGAATCTATATTATCTAATTATAAAATAGATAATCCGGAAGTATTAATAGTTTTTAAAATTATTAGTCTAGCTAATAAGTAGTCCTTTAATTAATATATAATAGCGAGTTTAACTACTAATAAACTATAAATAAAAATAGAAAGAGGAGCTAAATCTATAAAAAAAGCTAGATCTATAAAAAGAAGAGTAACTAGGCTTATAATAAAAGCTAGATTTATATTTAGATCTATAATTTTGCTGAGCGCAGCGAAGCAAATTTACAGAAAAGGTACCTAACAGACTATGCCTAAAATTCCGTCTTGCGAATTCTGAGATCCTGGCCTCTGATTGGCTAGAAAATTCACTCCTCATGTGATCAGGGTAGGGTTAGTCACGTGATTCGACTTTGAGATATAGACACCTTGGTGCCTAATAAAGCACGTGATATATATGTAGATCACGTGAAATACACCGATCCACTTGGGATTAGGCGGCGATCACGTGAGTACCCTATGATCACGTGATATACACCGATCCACGCCGGATTAGGCGGCGATCACGTGAGTACCCTATAATCACGTGATATATACCGATCCACGCCGGATTAGGCGGCGATCACTATATAATAAGTAGCCTAAGGCGCCTAAGGCACTAATTACCTATATTACGTAATATATCACGTGATATATCTAATCTACGCCGGATTAGATAGCGATCACGTGAGCACCCTATAATCACGTGATATACACCGATCTACGCCGGATTAGGCGGCGATCACGTGAGCACCCTATAATCACGTGATATATACCGATCCACGCCGGATTAGGCGGCGATCACTATATAATAAGTAGCCTATAATCACGTGATATATCTAATCTACGCCGGATTAGATAGCGATCACGTGAGCACCCTATAATCACGTGATATACACCGATCTACGCCGGATTAGGCGGCGATCACGTGAGCACCCTATAATCACGTGATATATACCGATCCACGCCGGATTAGGCGGCGATCACTATATAATAAGTAGCCTATAATCACGTGATATATCTAATCTACGCCGGATTAGATAGCGATCACGTGAGCACCCTATAATCACGTGATATACACCGATCTACGCCGGATTAGGCGGCGATCACGTGAGCACCCTATAATCACGTGATATATACCGATCCACGCCGGATTAGGCGGCGATCACTA